TGTTGAACTGCCATGTTCCTACAGTAGCCGAGAAAGGACACACCAAACACTGGCTCAAGATAGGGCTATTAAATTTTTTTGGGTGTTTTGTGGCCGCCGCAGTTTTCTCCTCCACACTTCGAAATGGAGTGTGAAGCTAAATTGTACACACTGGACCTTTAATAGGCTGGAGTTACAAATTCACACACACCAACAATCTCCTGTCAGATATATATTGGTGATATTGTCTGTTGAAATGTCCCTCGCAACAATTATATATAGTAATTTGCATGTTATGACGCATCTGACTGGTGTCTTCAGTCTCATAGGGGACAAGAACTCTATTCTGCAGCTAAGAGAGGAGCATGGTGTTGCATATCAGCGCTCCTTTCCTGGCTGCCAATTGATTGACTGGCTCCTTCAGAATGGAGAGGCAGAGAGCCGGCGTCTGGGACTGCAGCTGTGCCGCGCATTGCAGGAGCATGGCATCATTCAGCACGGTGAGGGGAGTCCTCATTTGCCCTTTGATGTATGGCACCAGGAATGAGCTGGCTGTCAGTGGCTGCTAGCAGTGGGTGGCCAGCTGGGACTTTTGCAATCTAAAGCAAACACACTCATCAACTCTTTGTGAAAAATCCCATTATTTTTAAAATGTGTTTTGTGCTCTCTCTCACTCCACTCCCACCACTAGTGGCAAAGAAGCACGAGTTCTTTGACAGCGGACTGCTCTATCAGTTCTGCATCAATTTCCGCCGCCGCCGCCGCCTGTCTGAACTGTTACATGAAAGTGAACAAGATGACGATGACAAAGGTGTGGTAGTGTCGACACACGAGGACAACCATTCTGATAGTCCATTTGTTCTGCGCAAAGGCCAACCGCAGGAGGGCAACAGTGCTTTCCAGTCTGGTAAAAAAATAAATAAATTCTGCCCTTTTTGCACTTAATACATGTTGTTGTGAATGCTACTAATTTTACTACTAATTTAATTACAGTGGGGTTGAGTGAAGACCTGAAACAGGTTACCAGTGTGCGTCGAGGCAGCTTGAATTCCCTTCAGCTTCACTCAGCTGGATTTCCACCTCTTGTCCAGCTGACTTCAACTTCAATGGTCAGATGCAATCCCAAATCAGGCAAGCGTGTCATTAATATTCACGTGACAAATGTCTCAAAATGTCTTTAAAGACAGCCTATTTGGTCCGCTTGTGTCTCAGAAAACTCAAAACTGGAAAACTGTGAACGCTGAAATCTTTTAATAATTTTACAGTACTCAGAAGAAATTTTACATGTGAAGAGATACTGGCACATGGTGCACCCTTCATCAAGAAAGTGTTGACGGTGAGTTGATCTGTAATGATTTAACCATGGCTATATAAAAGGTCCAGTATGTGGGATTTAGTGGCATCTAGTGGTGAATTTTTAAATCAACTCTGTCGCTTCACTCTCCCCTCCCAAGCACAAAAAAAAAAAAAAAAAAAAAACTATGGTGGCCACGAAACGCCAACTTCCCTATCTAGAGCCAGTGTGTGGTTTGTCCCGTCTGGGCTACATGGCGGACTCCATGGAAGACGACCCGCGGTGTGTGTAGATATAAACGGCTCATTTTAAGATAACAAAACATAACAATCCTTATTTTCCGATGATTATACACTAATGAAAACATACCTATGAATATTACATTTCATTTCTGCCAACGGATCTTTCTAAATGTTTCACACTGGACCTTTAAAAACTACTTATGTCATCTCTAAGGTTTAACAGCATGAATTCAGTATAACCTGAACAAAGTCTAAACAAAATTCAACACATTCTTAGAGATGTTTCTATGTAGACTAATAAAATTATACCTCACCAAGTGAACTAAACTAAATAGATTTAATTTAATGTAATTTATCTCACCCTTCGGCCATCACAGGTGATAGGAGACGCCCTGGGCTGGGGCTTTGTTGTCAGAGGCATGGCTCCCTGTTATGTGCAGGCTGTTGACCCTGGAAGCCCTGCAGCAGCTGCTGGAGTTAAGGTTAGATAATATGTTACACACATGGCACCAAAAGAGAAAATGCTATTGTGATCTCAAAGGAGTTTGAGAACAGCCCATATGTGACTCTGAGACAAAAATCAGACCAGTGATACCTCACATCGTTTTCTTTAGGTGCGGCAGTTTGTGTGCCAGGTGAATGGACAGTGTGTTCTCTACCTGGACTACAGGACAGTGTCCAGACTGGTGATGACAGGAACTCGCACTGTTGTACTGGAAGTTATGGAGCCACTGGAGTGACAACATCATCTAGCTCTTGAACACTATTGATATAATAATGAACTGTATTTGATATAACTGAAATATAATTAATGAAGAAGCCTTTTGTTCAATCCTACACTATGGATAAAGCTCATGTTTGCAATTTCCCAGCTTGGGATCAATAAAGTATCTATCTATCTATCTATCTATCTATCTATCTATGTGTTCATTTGTGGGACACAATACATAGATAAATAAATAAATCAGTGACAATGCTTATCAGCAAAAGTAAACCACAAGGGTCATGAATGTGGTATTTTCATGAACCAGCATTCCTGAACTACAAATGTTAGCTTTCTACAGCTGAAAACAAAACACTGTATTAATGTGACCATAATGAATACTAACTTTGGTCATCCAGTCACTGCCCAGGCAGCTCCCTGCTACGACTTCCGTCGTTTTATCGTCGCCATTTTGGATTGACTTGTCTCTCTGGGAGAAGATAACGCTAGCTAGCAGACTGGCCCGACCGCCGGTGCAAGTAGAAGAGTTGCTCAGAGGACACTGGGTTGTCCTGGCAGTCACCATTGTTGTGGTCACATAAAGAGTGGTGTGAGGTGTGCACCACTGTGCCCCGTTCATCCAGATAACGATAGTAGCAGCTGCAGCAAAGCAGATGTGACGGCTAACGAGCTAGCTTAGTGAGCTAGCTGTGCAGCACCGGCTTTGAGGAGAGCGAACATCAGCATCAGTCTGCACGACCCCGCCGACCACTACACTGCTGTGTTGGCCATTTATGCAGTGAGGCAGCCAGTGTAAGCTAGCTCCCAGACGTATCATAAGGTGAGTAACACGCATCGATTAATATCGTCAGTGAAAATGAAGAAATGAATAACGCTAGCTTTGGTGCTAAGTGCAGTGGGTGACCGAGCCTGCTAGAGCGGGTAACGCAGCTAATGCTGGCTAACACATCCATGTTAGTCCACAGAACTAACATGGACTTTACATGGACTGTAGCTAAACCTCTGATGGTCGAGATCAGAGGACAGTGTGGAGCAAGAAGGGCTTCAGGTTTGCTCTCTGCTTCAGTATTTCCAGCACTGAATCAGTGAATGAAAGCTAACTTTGTGGCATGGCCACTGAGACAGTAACGACACTGGGCCCCCGTAGAAACTGCAGCATTTCATATAGATAACGTTATCCTGGCATCATAAGTAAATAAGTTGACAGCGATTTATTGGATAGAAACACGTGTTGAAAGGGCGTGTCGCCTGTTTATGAAGTCAGCCTCTCATGATGTTGGTGATTATTGATTGAACTGTGGTGTTGTATTCTGACACATTTTAATAAAGATGCTGCTGTCTTAAGCCTACCTCAAACTAATAAACACTTTATTTTCTGTTGGTCAGGAGAAATGTATCAACTCCCAGTGAATAACCTTACAAGAATCCGGAGAGCTAGGAAACAAGTGAAGAAAGCACTTGAAGACATTGGACTGGAGTACTGCAAGGAGGCAGCAGAGGTGAGTGTATCTTTAATTGTTCTAGAAACTTTACATTAAATTGAGAAACATGACTTAATATGAAGCTTTATAGACGATTGCCATTCATGCTTTAATAGTTATATATGTGAGTGGCTCTTTTTAAAAAAAAAAAATCTCTGTAACAGTGTTTATATTTAGAAAATATTTTATATTTTATTAAGGAAAATGCAACTTAATTTTATGCCAACTCAGCATTTTGTCCAAAGCCTGTGTTGATTACAATTGCATGCAAAGTATTGTATGCTGTCAAACTGTCAGAAATGTTATATAAACAAATTCTTATCAGATATTATAACATGTATGCCTTAATCTTTAAATATCCTTCCACAGGAGTTCAAAGAGTTTTGCCCTAATGAGCAATTTGTTAAGAGCAGTCTTTGCCTTGATATCTGCGCGTGGGATCCATCATACTCTAAAACACAGGTAAGCCTTGCTTCTGTTTCCATGGCCTTTTCAAATGCTTATGCACAAATGACCATATTTGTCTTAATGCCATTATTCTTTCCTTGATGTCTTCTAGGAATACCGATCGAAGCCATTTTGCTGCACAGAGTGCTCATTTTCTTCCAAATACTACTCAGGCTACAAGAATCACTTCCGCAATGTACACAGGAAAATCTTTGATAGTAAAATACTGCTCAACTGTCCATACTGCACATTCACTGCAAGCAAGAGAACTTTGGAGACGCATGTTAAAATATTCCACATACCTAGTTCAGCACGGCAGAACTATGGAAACCCACAGGGAGTTGGCCTGGCAAAGAACAACAAAACATATGCCAGACAGGGAGACGGTGTGGAGAAGGCAATGTACTTTTGCAAAAAATGCACGTTTCGGGACAGTCTCTACAATGTTGTGAGAAGGCACATCTACAGGGAACATTTTCAGCATATTGTCTCACCGTATCTTGGTATGGTTTCGGAATCATCTGTCAAAAATGGTGCTAATTCTGTCAATGGCAACAACATCCTCTGTAAACGCTGCCAGTTTTCCACTCGTAGCTACGAGGCTCTAGTACAGCATGTTATAGAGTACCATGAGCGCATTGGTGCTCAGGTAACCACCATGATTGGACATGCTAATATTATTGTCTCAAGGACCCAAACCTTTCCAGTTGTAACTCAGAAGACCCCTCTGGTCATTAGCAGGGGCCACACACCTAGAGCTGACTCAACAGCACAACCAGTAATTGGCTATTTAAAGCCAGTGGCCCCTGTTGTCAAGCATCAGTCTTCCATCGCAACCAGTCAGCTTCGTGGCACAGTTCCTGGCAACAGCACTGTGGCTGAAAATAATTCTGCGGGTGTAAACACAGCGCAGACACAGAAGTGGAAGATATGTACAGTTTGCAATGAGCTCTTTCCTGAAAACCTCTATAATGCTCATTTTGAGAATGCACACAAGGCAAAGAAAGTGTGGGCACTGGCCAAGTACATCATGAAAATCCACAACTTCACCAGCAAGTGTTTACTTTGCAACCGCTATCTGCCCAGCGACACACTGCTTAACCACATGCTAATCCACGGGCTCACCTGTCCACAGTGCCACTCTGCTTTCCACAGTGTTGAGAAAATCATGGAGCATGTGGCTCAGGCTCATCCTGATGACTTCGTGGGACCACCTGGTGCATCACCTCTAACCTTTGATCTCACCATTAAACAGGAGAAGTCCAGTAACGTACAACTTGTTGTTCTCACTTTTAACATGAAGGAATCTATCAATGGTCAAGATCAGTTGGCGCCTGCTCAGAACAGCGTTCCACCTCCGGTCAAAGTCACCGCTCCCAGAATGATTGAGAAGACGAGTGAACCACTTGCTGCTAGAAGTTTCCCCTCAGCGACTCACAAGAGTGAGGTTGGAAAGACTCTGTGTCCGCTGTGTTTCACCATCCTCAAAGGTCCCATCTCTGATGCTTTGGCCATGCATCTGAGGGAGCGACACCAAGTGCTCCAAACAATGCATCCTGTTGAAAAAAAAATGACATACAAGTGCATTCATTGCCTGGGGGTGTACACCAGTAACATGGTAGCCTCCACAATCACGCTGCATCTTGTGCAGTGCAGGGCTGTTGGTAGAACCCACGTAGGTCAAGGCTTCAAGTCTGCCTTGACTCTCAACTCATCTGGAGCTGGCTTTCTCAAGAGGCAGCCACCAATGCAGGCCATGTCCAACCCCAAGAAGATGAAACTGAGCAAAGAGTCAAAGATTTCCTGCACAACTGTTGGAAGTCAGTCCGAATCTGATGGCCTTGCTCTGGATCCTAGGAGCTACGAGCACAAGACGTATGAGGCCAGGAAAAATTTCCTGACGTCCTACTTCAACCGGCGACCATACCTTTCTTCTCAGGAAGAGGAGAAGCTGTCTGCAAGTCTGTGGCTGTGGAAATCTGACATTTCTAGTCACTTTGCAACCAAGCGGAGGATGTGTGAGAGAGAATGTGAGACCAAGAAGGTGTCTGTGCTGCTCGGCTTTGACATGCATGCTGTCAAGAAAGTTAAACATGACTTGATCTTTGAGGAGAGCAAGGTTGAAAGCACCTCAGTGGGGAGATCTGGAGGCCTCAAGTCTGGTACTCCAAACACAGACCAAAACAGACAATGTGAGACACTGAACTGTACCTTAAAACTCGTAAGCACGTGCACAGAGACCATTTCCATTGATTCAGACAGTGAACCAGAAGCAGAGGACGGACCTACTGAGAATGGAAATGTTGACACAAACCAACACGAGAATGTAAAATCCCAGAAGCCAGCAAACATGACAGAAGAGACAGAAGCTGTGAACACGGATGATCCTCCGAGAGACAAGGAGAGCACTTTGCAAGATGGGAAAGCAAATGCTTGGATGACGTTCTGTTAGTGTCTCTGCTTAGCAGTGTGCCTTGGTTGAGTAACCGTGTCCCTTCTGAAGGAGTGTATGAATTAAGACAAAGAAAAACAAGAAAGGTCTTCACACAGTTACAAATCAAAAAAAATATGTGGACACATGGCATGGGTCATTAAATCTCCAGAAGTTACCAGGGTTGGAAGGAAGAAAAAAAGTTACATTATAGTACATAGGTATATGGCATATGTAAGTGACATTGTATATATTTTAGCCATTGATCTTTGTTAGATTCTTCATACAATCTGTTATTCACCTTTTAACTGTCACAAGATTTATGAAACAGGTATGCCAACCTCCCTACTTCCATAGTTTTTTCTCAACTGTGATAAAGAACTGTAACATATTGTCATTTCACATTTAGAAAGTGTAGGATATGCTTATTGCTTATGTACACGTTTTAATAAATATGTTTGTTTAATAAAAACATTTTAAGTTCTTTCCTACACCAATCACTGTGTTAAAATGACCTTTTGTGCCAGGTTTTAAGAAAACAGCAATTTAAAAAAACATTTATAGAACACAATGGGTCCATAAATAATCCTAAGAAGGTTATGCTTATGTAAATTTCAACAGGAAAGTAATGGAAGACAAGTTAAGCCAAAGTCTCAA